TTTATTACTTAGAAAAGAAGAAAAAAGACAGTGCTGTGTGGTTCTTCAGCGAATTGATTGCCAGGAGCATGTTATTGACTTTGGTGATAATATCATTATATATTTTAGGGTCGTAAAATCAAGAAATTTAGATTATACCCTGAGGGCTTCACACATTTAAATAAAGGATATAGCCATTTCTGGGATTATTGGTTTAGATTAGCAGGTGCTATGAAGAATGTTTAGTGCATTACAAGGACAGAAAAAGCAACAGTGTTCTTATTGCTGAGATGCTTTGCTTTATTTTCTTTTTCTGTTTAAGAAATGCGCTCAGTTACAGATCCCCTGGGAGGACGAACAGCATTTGCTCTAAATGTTAGCCTACTAATACAGTGTTAGCTCAGTGTTCTGTTGGGCTAAGAGCTGAAATCAGGTGTAATCCTTGGCTTGTACCAAGAGTAAGGATAAGTCTTCTTGAAACACTCAGTAAAATACATAGTGCCTTGGAAGCAGACCTTGAGCCTTTTGCAGGCTGCAAAATTAAGAGCATTGTGGGGAGCAAGATAATTTAATGCAAACACAGCTCTCGTTCTTGCTGTCAAAGGCAGGGTGTGGTACTGCCTTGGGCACATCTTCCCAAGGAGCTCTAGTGCCTGCTGCTGCTGGGTACGGCCTCCGGGGCATCTGCCTCTATCACTCAGCTCAGGCTGTGGATCTTCCACAATAGCTTATTTCTCTCTTGAACTGTTTGCCAGTCACCTCTTGGGATTGACTGGACTTGAGGTTGAGTACTCAGGGGTTTGGGTTCGGAGCTGTCTCTAGCTTGCCTGAGGGAGTCTTGGTTTAATTAAGGTATATTGCCTTGAATAAAAATGATTGACTGCATTACAAACCTTGTTTTTTACTTCTACAGTAGCTTTAGGGAGATGGATAAGGTAACCTAACACTGATCATACTGATATCTCTGCTTTAGATGCGAGCTCAGAAGCACTTTGCACCACCCAGCTCTGGGGATTTGTTGTTCTCTAAAAGACCATGAAAGTCCAAGTGCAATGTCACAACTCGGCAGCAAAGGTCATGTTGTTCTACTCATGCAGGAGCAGGGGGTCCAGCTGGAACACATATGGCTTAAGGGTGTATGGTGACATCTACAGAAGTAGATAATAATAAAATAATTAACATTTACATTTTAAGGGCCTCTGAGGATTATACGCTGCAAACAAAACCTTTCTTGCCTGGGTTAAGAGCGGCGCATTTTCTAATTAAAAGTGATCCTCTTCCCAAACTGAGTTTGTGTGACCTTTTTAGTGGGTTTTTGGCTTCCTCAGAAGGTGGAAGCTGTGAAGGAGGAAATACTGACTCCATTTATTACATGGAAGGAAAGAGGGAGGCACTGTCTTGGGTGGGTTCCTGGCACAGAAAGCTCTCTAGTTTAGTCATTTAATGTTATCACTCACCCTCCTCCGAAGCTTAAGAATTACAGCCTTGTAATTCAGATCTCTCTGATTTATGAAGTTTCAAGTACAGAAAGAACCTTGTTCAAGAACTGTCATTAAAAAAACCCCTTTTTCTTTTTTAATGATGAGGTGCTTATGAGAGTCTGGACTATCTGCTTTCTAAGTGTCCGGTTTGCAAAAGCAGTATCACCCTACATAAATCTCACACCTCATGGGTGCTGTAAAACCATCCATACTGACAGTGTCATACAGTAATTTCCTATGCAGGTAGAAAGTTTTTCAGTGCTGATTGCAACACCAAAATTTGGGAATATGGCATGAATATGGATAGGAGGAGAGATGGGTATACGTGAGAAATGGTGACTGTTGCAGATGGCTGATGTACAATATAGGGCAGCGTGTGTCTGTGTGCATGCTCTGTGCTTTGCACGGGACATATGCTCTAGGGTTTTACGGATGAGTTTGTACTCTCTAGTAATTTGCAGCTTCCACCGCAGTTTCAAATATCTACATCATTTTCAGGTTGATGATTTTTCCCAGTCATTTATCCCAAAAGCACTTTATCCTACTTAATCTGGGTCATAATTGACATGGGACTCGTGCGTAAGTGAAACACAGCCATGAGGTGTGTTTGAATGGGCTGTTAATGTCAGGGATTTAGTTACGTGCAGTAAAACAGATCAGAGGTTGAAATAAGTATAAATGTTCAAATAACTGATGAATGCAAGGTCACAGTCACGACTTGGACTCAGAAGACACTCTTGAACACTTACATACTCATGCTATTAGCTCACAGCTGCCTTTGGCCCTAAGGAAGACATAAGGTTGGAAATTTCTGGTAAGGAAGCTGTTGGAATTGGATTGTATTTATTGCAAATCAACAGGATATCTTTGCAAGTCTAAAAGACATATGGAAAAATCCACTGTTATCGTTGTACTTTGTTGTGTCTCCAGATGTTTTCCCTCCTGCCCCACTCCGGAGGCTGAAAGTGGAAAATGTTTTTTCATTGTTTTAGGTGATGGTGCCAACATCTGTCTTGATGTTTCCCTGGGGAATGTTATTAGCACTGCTTAGAGTTTCTGATGCATCATTTTTGTCTCATTTGCCTCTTTTTTTTTTAATTTTAATACAATATAATGTAAGAGCATGAAGTTTGAACCCAGATCAATTCTTTTGAGGGAGCAGAGGTGAGAACAGATCAAGGGGAACAGTTGGCTGGCTGCTGAAGTATCACAGCAGCACATAGCAGCTGCCTTATTTTTAAGGGGCTATGAATGAGGCATAAAACATTGCTCTGAGCTGATATTTTTCTTTGAAAGAAATAGCATTTGTGAGCTCAAACATACTTAAAGATCTCAAAATGCTTAATATAACTCCATTTTTTAATATACATTTAATCCATCATTAGCTCACAGCATGGACAGTGCTCTACTCTGGGGGGAGAGAAGAACCAAATGAGTGTCTTCATTTGGAAGTACTCTTTGCTGATTATATATACTCATAATGGTATTGTAAAAATTTCAATTCCATAGTTTTGAACCTCAGGTTTATTCATCCAGTTGATGAGTGTGTAAATTAGCAAGTTGACCCAAGTTTGACTGCTGAAGAAGGTGCTTTTGGGGAAAATGCTATTTTGTTTGGCATTTCTATTTCTAATAGAATAGAAATATTTCTAATAGAAATGCCAAACAAAATAGCATTTTCCCCAAAAGCTTCTGTTCTTCTGCTTATCAAAAACCAGCTGCACAGTAGTAGATTTTATTAATTTTTCAGTGCTTAAATCTGACCTTTTCAATAGGAATGAACTTTGGAGAAAATTTGGGCCAGAATTTTTAAATGTAGGTGTCTAAAACTAGATTCTGACCTGTGGTTCATTTATAGAAGACTATGGTTCCTGGTTCGTTCTTTTACACTAACTGGAAGGATGGGGCAGAATCTGTGACTAGAGCTCTTAGGTGGTAATAGTGTAAATTTTAGCAATATCAGACCATGTTGTTTTTGGGGAATCAGTTGGGTCCAAGTAACTACAAATTCTTTTAAGATCTTACAGTTTTGCTTGCTTATTTGTACCTTTAATGTTGTTTGTTTTGTTCCTTGTTTGGTTGCGATTATTTACAGCTCACTGCTGGTTTTTTGAGGTCCTAGCAAGAAATTCCACAGACAGCTGCAAAATATATTTTTAATCAATTTTAGGAAGATTCATTCCCTAACTAACATATTTCTTCCAGTTAAGACAGAGTAAAAGCTGTTTTGCAGATACTCGGGGAGGGGGGGAAAGTCTTCCTGACAAAAATGTCCCTTTTTTAGATTGCTGTGGTGTCACAGTTGTGTGGTTCAGGCCAGTCTGAGTGTTATAATTTAGGTACATTTGTTGGTGTGGTTTAACCCCAGCTGACAACTGAATACTACCCAGCCACTCAGTTCTCTCCCAGCAGAATGAGGGGAAGAGAACTGGAACAGTTAAAGTGAGAGAACTCATGGGTTGAGATAAGGATAGCTTAATAGTTGAAATGTTGTTGGTGGTGGTATTTTTATTTTTATTATTATTTTGGTAATGGGAAGAAAAATTGTGGAAAAAGAGAAGTAAAGTGCAAGAGAGACAAGTGATGCCAATGAAAAACTGTTGCTCACCACCAACCGATGTGCAGCCAGTCACAGAATCATAGAATTATTTGAGTTGGAAAATACCTGTAAGGTCATCGAGTCCAACCATTCCCTCAGCACTGCCAAGCCCACCACTAAACTACGTCCTCAAGTGCCACATCCACATATCTTTTAAATCCCTCCAGGGGCAGTGACTGCAGCAGTTCCCTGAGCAGCCTGCTCAGCACTATTTCCAGCACAAATCCAAAACACAGCCCCATACGAGCTCCTGTGAATAAACCCAGCACAATTGATCTTATCCATACAGTGCTCTCTTACCCCTAATTGTTTTTTTTATTAAGAAACATATTTGCCTTTTTTTAAGCTTCTCAAGGTGAGCCTGAGAGAGCAGCCCTTGCTAGTTACATTTTTTTTTGAGTTTGCCTATAAGCAAAAAGAATAGGAACAAGGAGACAGTATTTCTTGTGGGGGTTCTAAAGCAGCACTGTTCTGTAGGCAAATAATATAATTTGGTTTTCCATCTTTCAAATGTTAATAGTCTAAATGCTGTTGATACAGTTAGATAAGTCAGTATACAAGGAAATAATAGTGTGTTTCTGTTGCTGTTTTGTCTGCAAAATGTGGAATTCTCGTGTGTATTGGGATTAAAACAACCCATACAGATCACAAGTTTTCAGATCCACAAGCTCTGATTCAGGTTTATCTCTTACTTCTGCAAACCTAATTTGTGTGCAAATTTTGTGCAGAAGACTTTGTATGGCAACAATTCCACTGTGAATTCATTTGAGGCAGTGAGGCCAAAAGGTTTTATTGAACTAGTACTTTCCTTGTAATTTTATTGGAATGTTTGCGTGTTTCGGTGTTGATGTAGAAGTTAGATCTAATTTGCCACTTAATTGTTTATTCATTTATTTTGCTTTGCACTCATGTAAATTGCCATTTCCCTTTTGTCTTTTCAGGTCAGGATCGCAGCGAAGCCACTTTAATAAAGAGGTTTAAAGGTGACGGTGTCCGATACAAAGCAAAACTGATTGGGATAGATGAGGTTTCTGCAGCACGAGGAGACAAGTTATGCCAAGACTCTATGATGAAGCTCAAGGTGCAGTGAAACTTGTAATACTTAATGTTATGGAGTCAAAGGGAGCAAATTTCAGCTTGAACTTTTACTCGTTCTCCTTTTGTGACACCAGGTCTCGGTCTGGTTAATTATGTATTGAAATCAGTCAATTTTACATGAACTCCTGGCTGGTATTGCTTATCCTGGTTTAATTTTCATACATTATCTCTGAGTTCAGTAGTTATTCGTGATTGACACCACTGCAATTTGTCCACAAATTATAAACAACACATCTGCAAATTGAATAATGTTATTATGCAAAAGGGGAAGTAAAGCACTGGGGAGAGAAATGGTGTATCAGAATATTTTCTATGACATTGCTGATCAACTACAGCCCTGCCTGTGGCTGTTACCTCCTATGGGGACAGGCAAGAAGGTGTTAGTGATGGTGTTGGGTGTAGGTAGCCTGATGTAGAGGGGAGCTGTGTTCTCAGTGGAAGGAGAATGCCTTGTACCTATAATGGCAGGACTGATGGGTTACAAAATCAGGAGGCAGTGCACTGGGAGGATGGAGTGTGAGATGATAAAGAGAAGTCCCCAGAGTTTTGGGGAAGAAATGGAGCAGTGACAAGGGCAGATTTGAGTAGACTATAAACTTGGAGAGTAGGCAGAGTCTGAAAGCACCAGTGGTGTCAGAGCGATGATAGACATCTCTCTGGCTGAGTCTTTTCTCACACCCCTCAAGGAGCATGAGAGCTGTCTATAGGAAGCATCCTTTCCCTCACACTGGGACATGTGGAAGAGCTGGTGTTGTTGGGAAGGAGAGATAGGTTGTGTTTTCCTGGAGCGCAGTGTTGGCTGTTGACTTGCCATCTGCACTGTAGGTTACCAGCTAGTTCTAGGAGTAAACCCTTTGCAGTTTTTTCCCTCTTTTTATTTCCGCCAGTCCTCTCCCCACCACTCTGCCAAGAGAGCTGATGGATTTCTATTGCTGATTTTTTCAGGAGGAGAAATCACTAAATGGTGTCTTGTTCACTACCAACCCGCAGGGTTCCAATCCCGAGAATCCAGGAGGAATAAGTTATTCATTAAGAAACAGCATGGGGTGACATCCCTCTTATGGTTCAACAATCTAAAAGCAAGATCTGGTAGATAATTTACATATCAGTTTTATGGAAAGCAAAAACTAATCTGCTCTAGAAGGTGTTCTGTTGATATGTCACATCAGCCACAGTATTCCTACGTCATTTAAATGTGTGCTGGATATTTCTCACTGTTTCATAGTTTTTAGAAGGAATTGGGGAGAGTTGCTACTGTTCTGCTGCACAAGCTTTTTTGTCTCTCTTCTCCATGAATTACCATTTCCACATCTCCCAGATGCCTGATAACCTGTTTGCATTGTGGGAATATTGATCTAAACAGTTCTGGGAAATGACTAAAACTATTAAGGAAAGGGAGCACTAGAAATTCACATTTGGTGGCATAACATGAAGTTTCGGGTTCTGGAAATCCAGTGTCCTACAACATGAGTTTTAAGGCCACCCATAAAGTTTTGGGGTGACTTTTGGTATCATGTCTGTGTAATGGCAACAATGATCTCATGAAGGTCTTAGAGATTAGTGGTTCTTAAAACATATTGAAGTTTCAGATAGCAAATAAAGGCTAACTATTCTGAGTTATTTAGGAGTGCAGTTGATTGCATTTGATTTTAGTACGGTACTGTTGGTCAGGACAGGCTCCTGAGAAGGTGGAAACAGAAGCTACCATTATAGTTACACTGAGTTAGAATGGTGCACAAGATGGTATTGGCAAGTTCAGTTAGAAAGTAAAAGTTTGAGTTTACAGTACAGGTGTAGTTAGATTTTGAGAAGAATATTTTTTTTCTATAAAAAGCTCAGTTTGCTTATTCCAAATACATGTGCTCATGATGTAAACTGAAGTTTGTTGGCATTTTCTTTCCTCTGCTGCTTGTTGGGTTTTTTCTCTTTTTTTTTTAAAAAAAAGAAGACAGAGCGGCTCATAGCTGGGAAAAGTGTGCTACAAATGACCTTCAGCTTCCATAAAAAACAAATTTCATGGAGGATTACCTAGTGCAGTGGTTGGAAGTAGGAGCACATTCGAAATGCTCTCTGAATAGCATAAAGAGATGTGGTTCCTTGAAAAAAGAGAAGAAACCAGAAGTAAGAGGGGGACTGTTCCTAGAAAACCTTGCAGTTTTCCTAGAAAAGTGGGGAATAGTCCACAAGCAAATTTGTGCTCTGCTGTGGCACCTGAAAGAGTCATGAAACCAACCAAACTGTTCTTTTTTTCCACAGGGAATTGTTGCTGCGGCTCGTTCGAAAGGAGAACATAAACAAAAAGTCTTCTTAACAGTTTCCTTTGGGGGAATCAAAATCTTCGATGAAAAGACAGGGGTAAGTAAAATGATCATTTGATGGAGCAGAATTTAATCTTTTCATGGAGGCTACTTAAGACTCCTCAGCAGTACAGGTCAGGTGACTTTTGAGAGTCTCATGACAAGGGATTAAGATTAGAGGTGAGAATTGCCTTGGACTGGGCTCCTTGTGTCAGGGTAAGCTGAGGGGATGAAAACAAGCTGGAACAGGGAGCTCCGGACAACTCCGGGAGAGTGAAGCTAATTTTCCCTACTGATACCTGAGATAGAGAGAGAAAAGGAAGGGCAGTGCAGGCTGGGGAGCAGCACACACTTAGCTGGGATGGTCCTTAAAATGTCCCAGGTTAGTCATAGGAATTTCTGTCAGATCCATAATTCCACACGAATGCAGTAGTCACCATAGTGTGATATATCCTATTAACAGCAATGCCATTCTTCAGTGAGGAACCCGGTAACCATCAGAATTGGAGCTCATGTGTTGTCAGTGGTAGAAAAATTATATATTGTATGGAATGGGAGGTAAAAGACACTGGAAAGTTCGAGGTTGCTGTGTGAAGCTGCAAGCTGCACCTTTCCCAGTAGTATCTCATTGAGAAAGTTGCCGAGATTTCTGTGTCTTACACAGTTTTTGCTACAGCGATCCTATGTTTGATTTTTTAAATTGCTCCAAAAGAAGAAACCTAAGCAAAACATTATATTACTTAGATATAAAGCAACAACACACAAACTGTTTTAATCATAATTAAGAAGATTTTTACAGCAGTTTAAACTCTGCCTTGAATTTTAAAAAGCTCTTGATTTAATCTTTTGGAAGATTAACTATTTAACATGATGCCAGAAATAAAACCCTACTGATGATAGATGAAATTATCTTTGCCAGTTAATTTATATTATTAGAAAATCAATGTCATTGAGCTCACTGATACATAATATGAGTAGTTAGTAATGAAAAGCTCATTTGGGATGTGTTGTGTACAGCCTGTGTAAAGTATTCATACAAAAGCAGTGTTGCAGGAATATTGCTGGGGTTACAGAAAATAAAAAATGTCAGAATTAGGACTGTCAGTGAAAATTGCACTCAGGCCACAGTTACTTTCCTAAGACTAAAGCCTTTTCTTGGAAAAATAAAAAAAGAGGAAAGAGAAAGACTAGTCCTTTTGCCCTTGTCTCTGAATGTTTGTCAAACATTGGATTTCTATGCATAGAATAAAGAGGGAAAAGGGGATGTGTTTTAGAAACAAAGGTGTCCTTTATTCCCATTGTCTTTTCTGTAGCATCCTGCACATTCTCCTGTCTGCAGCTGGTGAGGTGGGGACATGGGAACAGTCTCCTTCATTTCATAACTCTGACACCATATACTCTAAATCTGACACATCTATATCATCCTTATAGTAAACCTGTCACTCACTCACTGAGGCTTAGAATGAAACCTCTAAATCCACCTTCCAAATGTCTGCCCCTGAGCTGCTGGAGTGATGGACAGGAGTATTGAGTTGTCCTTCTTGGAACGGGACTGTGACAAAGGGCTGTGGGGAGCTTTCGACATCAGTTTTTACGTGTTCTGAAAGCAGGAGAATCACACTTTCTATGCCAAGGTTTTGTAGCAAGAGTGCATGAAATCCTCTGCTGGTTTTTCACAGCCACCATCCCTTTGGCTTTTTCTATGGCTTGGGTCTCTCTGTGTTCTGAAGTTTCACACCTTGTCCCATTCTTTTCGTAGACACTCTCATTCAGCCTGTCTCTGCTTTGCCATGAGTTGTCATCTCATTCCCATTTCTGTTGGTAATCTCAGCATCTGAAATACACAAATTAGTGGACACATCCTGGCAGAGCTCCGAGCTCTTGGAGCACTGCTGAGGCAAGATTCTTCCCACAGCACGAGACAAATATTTAGGGATGATGCACCATGTCTCATCCATACAGCTATGGCTCATCCTGGTGGAATGCTGAGAGATGTCAGTTGGCAGAGCAGTAAATAAGACCATCTATGTAGTCTCACCTCAGTGTTTCTGTGCTAAAATGACCCCAAAGAAAGCTGCATCACTGCTATGATGAGGAACTTCCTGGAAGGCAAAATAAGGATGTTGTAGTTAGGTGATGTAGGACACTGACAATCCCATCCTTGATTTAAAAAATCCCACAAGCTGGCAAAACTGGGGAAAAAACTGCCAAATAATCCTGCATTTCCATTCTCCTCCTTAAACAGCCCGCTCTGTCCCTCACATCGCTCTCTCCCTTAGTTGTATTTCCATGATTTTGGAATTCCCAAAAGGATATTTTGGGCAACAGAGCTCATTTTTTTATTTATTTTTAAAGATTATTTACCTCACTTTTGCCATTGGCTATTGCTATCACGTTCGCCACAGTGGCAGTCTGGTGTGATAGAAAAGAGAAAAAATATTCTGAAAAAATGTGGGCTTCTGTATGCTGAGTGTCTTGTAGGCTGCCATTGGATTTTAATTTATCACAATAAAAAAATCAATTTGTAGCTCAAAACTAGCAAATTTTTTTTAAAATTGGCAGTGTCATAGCTGACTTCATACCGATGATTTAGGAGAATTACTCCATAATTCGTTACAGATGAAGGGCTGTAGTTGGGTTACTACTGAAAATGATAAGCAGGTTTTTTTCCTCCTGTACTTTATAGCTCTCTTTAATATGTTCCAGACCTAATATTTATCAAAAAATATTGATTTTAATAATGCTATTATTCCAACCATCAGGAATTCTGCCCTTTGAGTAAATTTATCCATGAAGGAGACTAGGGTGAAGGTGGAATGTCATTTGGAAAGAGTTTATCTCACCAGGAAAAATGCAAGAAGGATTTGCTGCGAGTTTACACTATATATGCAATACAATATAGTTCCTCTACAGAAATAATAACAGTCCTTTCTTATATTCCATCATTCCATGCCATGGATCCATCCGTCCCACTTGTTTTCTCCAGAATATGTTTGCCAAATATATACCTCACATTAGGGAAATACATCTCTTTGTCTTTTTAGCATTAAAAAATCTACCATAATTATTGCTAAACCCATACTTTTTCTACCCAATGCCACTTGAGAGATTTCATGTCTGCATATTATATGAAAATAATTTTTCATCATTTATTCTGTCATATCCATCTTGGTTATATCTCATGCTGCAATATATTCTTCATTAGTCATATTTCATGAAAGTTCTTTTATATTTTCAAAAGCATGTAGAAGGCAAATATGCAAATAATTGCATTATGTTATTTAATATTCTCCTTTTTTATTATTATTATATGCTATTTGATATTCTCCTATTTTCAGTTCCACCTAAGGGTGGAACTTAGTGGTTGATGATTTCCTTACAAAGCAACAAAAGCCATAACTCTGCATATAGATGGATATGCAAAATTTTTAAAGGCTCATCATTGTTGGTTAGCTATTTATGAGTGTTATTTTGTTAATCACACACATCAGGCCATCTCCCTGTGATAGCTTAGTAATGCTTCATTAGACGTGCGTGACTAATATGGGCTCCGTGAAGAGCCTGTAATTGTCTCATTGTTTATTTATGTGACAATAAATCTTTGTTTACTGTAGGTTACTTTCCAAAAATGTATTTGAAACTAATAATTAAATACTATAAAATGCTCGGGAATACATTTTCTTCTACATTCATGCAGTGAGCTGTGCTTTTAAACTCTTGTTTTTTCTGGTTGACTTTAATGGAAAACCCAGACACTGTGAAAAAGAAATAAGATAAAAGCAAAAATTTACTCTTTGGCTTTAAGTAAAGAATTATTTCTGTTGAAGTAAAATTTTGTATCAGATCACGGATATGCAAATTACCAGAATATGCCATAATATATGGCTCTGTATGAGGTATTGTTATAGCCTAATTATTTACCTAGATTTCTCCATTGTCCGAAAAGCATGGTAGATTGGTGTCAGTATCTCATTTATTTATGACAAATACCCTGAACAGATGGATTGTAACCCATTTCATACAAAAAAGTTAATTTTCCTTTTCCTGATGACCACAGAACTAGTTATTATGTTTCTGCTTTAAGTCTTGTGCTCAGGTCGTGTTGTTCTTTTCTAGTGAGATAATGTTATGGCGCTGGTATGTTCTAAACAGTTTTAGATGCCAACATCTTGCCCATCTTCCTGAGCTTTGGAGCTGTGTTGACCTTATAACGCACAGATTTTTCGAACTTCTTTCTCTAAAGCTTCCAGCATGTTCCAAGAGGTTTATGCTGATAACCCCTGGATTTGCTGCTCTTCTCCATTTGATGTGGATGATGGTGTTAATTATGCTGATAGATTGCTAACAGGACAGCTAAACTTGGCTGAAAGAAAATTTTAGCAAGATTAGGATTCTCAGTTTTGGCAGAAGATACTTCATTTGAAATGTACCAAAGGTACTTCTTGACTTTACTGGAAATCTGTTGGTTCTGGCATCTGTGACCAGAAATCGAGGTACGATTATGGATCTGTAGTTATTCCTTGAAGCACATGTGCTGGAGCAGATGAAATGTCAAACTGTCAAGTCTCTATCACTGAGCATCTCTGAATACTTAAATAGAAATAAAAGAAGTAATTAATTCCTTCTGCTCTATACTCGCTCTGCAGTGAGCAGGAGAGATGGTGTGATTAGTTCACTGAATTTTGTGTTTGCCAGAGTGTGGTACTACCCAGGAGAGTGCTGGTAATCTCTGCCTGGGGTTCCCAGAGGTGGTTTTTGTCTTTGAAACTTCCCAAACTTCCTGCTGGCCTCTTCATGGCTCATCTCAGGTGCAGTGCTTTGAGAGCATTTTACCTGATCAGCTGATTTTGCTTATAGTCCTCCACCTGGCCTCCATGACTCTTGTCTCTGACTTTAACCCCTGTATCCCTAGTTTCTCTCCTGCAGTTTTCATCTGGGATTTCCTGGGTGTTCTCTGTCCTTGATCTCTTTTTCTTCCCGACATGCTTTTTATCAGAATTATTTCATTTGCAACTATAAAGTTGCTTATTGTGTTGAAACAAATGATGCCAGATTTGT